TTTTTCCCTTGAATAAAGGAATAAGTTAAGGGCAGTAACATTCACTCAGTACTACCCGACTAAATCTTCTCTTCTTCAGTTCAAAAAGGGCTTTTGGTCTGTTTGGTTCTTAAAACTTGAAAGTTTAATTAACCAAGTTAGCCGATAAAGATTTTCATTCAGAATATGAACTGGCTTTCTAGAGTCAAGGACTTTTTTTGTTCACACTCTGAAGTACATTCATTCCAACAGTAAGTTTTTTTTTCAAGTCAATGGAGGTGTTGAGCTCTAAGTGCATTCCTCAACAGTCTCTTACACACAGGTGAATTCTATTTTATTATGTACTTTATTGACCAGATATATAAAAGGTATAACACAGAGATACAGAGGTCAATGTCTGCTCACTGAAAGGGATTGTACCTCTGAGAATATTCATGAGCTAAATGGTGCTTTCACGAACCTTTGGACAGAAAGAATCAACAGTTCCTCACTGCTACTCTCAGATCTCAGTGGAAATGTAACACAACATTTAAGTTTGTAGGCTGTAGCTATGAACATTTGTACAGTAGAATTTTTTTTAAAACTTTTTTTGGTGAATTGAGAGAGAGACTTGTGTTGATAAAGCTCAGTTATCACACATTTTCTTTTAAAGATTACACTGTAGAAAATACTCAATTAACCAGCAAAAACCAGTTGGATATACAAACAAACTGTATTAAATAATTGGTTTTAGCCCTAAGTGAATATAATTGCACTGTAGATTATAGTTTTCTATTTAAACAAAACAGTTGTTTTGGTCAACAAGTGTTTCAGTACATATACATACATTCTTAAATCATCAATTTACCCTTTCTGTGTTTTTACACATTTAATTAATAGGGTGTTAAAATACATTTCACATTCTCTGCTAAAGGGGATTTCTACTTTCACCCAGGTTCCATTTAATTATTTATTTTATACACAAACACAATTCAGTTATGGTTCCTTAATAGTTACAGATACTGTTTTAACTAACTTTTGAACCGATCTTTAGTATTCTCTTTAACAATAGTGTAAGAAAGCCCTACAGGTCAAGGTCCAACAGCACCCTTTACTGGTTTTTTTCTGAAACTTTTTATAATTATTTTTTTTTTCAAATTTTTTCACTTAAATTTCAATACTGGGGCAAAAAACCAAAAATCAAAAACAAACCGAAAATATTAAACACTGTTGGTGGATTGGAAATTAAGTTAAAAATAGGATTTTATATTTTGTTTTCCAATTTTTTTTAAATACAAAGCCAGGGTGGGGGTGTGTGAAAAGTTAATAGCGCGGGAATAGCCTTTTATGTTGGGAAGAAAGGATTTGGAGTGTATTGTTATAAAAAAATACGTATCTTCAAAGATTTTTTATATTTTCTTCACATAAATGTTGACATTAGTTCGTATGAAAGTGTGGAGCTTGATGTGGATGGGATGTTGATTTGCTGTGTGGTTCTGCGTCTGTTTTTTCCGTGTAGATACATGTTATGTTCATTTTGATAACGGCCGAGGACTTAGGACAGAAAATCATATAGAAAATTAAACCGTGCATACAAGTGTTACCCAATCCGTCGGATTATATCAAAACTGTCTCCTAGTATTTTTATTAATATTGAGACAGTATGTCATATTTTGGGTAGTAACAACACTCATTGTATATGGCAAGTGGCTTTGTTATATAACTTAGTACCATTATGTATGCTATACCATGGAAGCAACAGACTACCGAATATTTATCAATGTTAATCTCTCTCTATGGTATGCTCATCAATTTTACATGGAAACACATCATCACATACAAACCAATGTATATTCCAGCACTATACTATATTATTACAGTAATTCTGTCTCAAGGTATATACAATGGGGTACCAGTTTTCACAAATGGATCCCAAAACCTGCAGGAGATACTCTGGTTGCTCCTTGAGTGCTTTCAGGCCGCATCATGAGAGGCTGGGTTTACACATGATCGCATACGCGGCTATCCCCCCTGACTCTCAATGTGGACCGCCATCTCACGTATTCTAGGTAGTGTACCGTACAAGAGAGGGCAGAAACACTGTAAATCTTTATCCGCCAGATTCACACATGTGAAACATGTGTCATTGATGTGGAACCTGTATCTTTGCTCACATTGGGAGGAGCAGGGACCTACATTCTCTGAACACCATCTATAATTCACGTTGACACCATATCCGCATGCTCCACCGCCTCACTCCACCCACCCACCCCAACTGGTACTTATGCGACAAACATATACACTGGATCGTTACCTCCCCTCTCTCCGCGCTCGATAACGGAACCCCTCTCACCACCACTCATCGCTCGCGCTACCGCATAGGGACCTGCACATCTCGCCCGCGCGCCAACTGCACGCACTCCACCACCGCCGCACCTGCACGCGCTAGCTTCCGTAATCGCACCATCCACCCCTGGAGGGAGGAGGAGAGGGATAATATGGTTCTTTGTGACATCACTACTGATCTTCCGTGCTAGAGGTCAGGGATAATACACAACATGGTTGGGGAAAAGTGATTGTGTGGGGGAATGGCAAACAAGTACATTTACAACATGAATGATCTTATTATTATGCGTGAACAGAGAAAAACCAGCTATCCATAAATTCGAACATGTCCAGTGGGGGATTCCATAATGCAATTCATTAAAAAAAGAGAGAATCTGTTATCCTTCTATCATATCGAGGGATGCAATTGACCTACGTGATGAGTCGACACTAATTTATAGGGGGGGAATATGGCATGCAATTGCACAATCTGGACATTAATCAGACCTGGTAAACTTATCAGTAAATAACATCATTAACTGGGGAGTTCATTCTCCTGCCGAAACTTCGCTTGAATGCATTAGTACAATAAAATGACAAAGTATTATGTTGTATGTGCTAGAAACTGCGTTTCAACGCCGAATGCATTCTGATAGCGCTCCCGCACCACTACGAACAATCCAGTGCGCCATCACAACAATCGATCGATTTCGTGTCTAGTACAGCAAAAGGGCATACTAAGGATACCATCTTCTTTTTGGAAATACAGCAACAGCGCAGTCTTCTACCTTTGTTGCGACAGCGATCGGTATGTGACTCTTCAGACTGAAATTCTCGGTCGCCACGCACTGTTCTCTGAATACTTACACATACGTAAGTCATCTGCAAATAGAGGAAAGCGTAACATCGGAACTCGAAACATGGAGCTGACTCTGATACTCCACCCAGTACTTACCCCCATATCGCAAAGGTAAATCTTCACACCCAACTTTTCTCTCTTATTCGAAGTCCTATATTTGACATAAACTCCCGCATAATTGAATATACCAGCACATCTCACAAACAGCGAAGATAATATTTAATATGAGGTATATACCACAGAACATACAAATTCACAAAAGAACATTCAAGACATAACCGAATACTGCTCTGCTATACCGAATATATAAATACGTTCGCGCTGTTGTCCCTTAAAGACTCGATCCCGTGGACAAGACAATTTATCAGTATGTACGATAATCTCTTGACAAGCTTACTCATTAGCTCATTAAAAAGAATATCTCCATCCTCATAATAAGATTGTTCTATATCGAACAACAAATGCTTCATTTCCTCCTATTCTGATATAAGTAAATATGTGTATACACAGTGTATCTCTTACATGTTAATCTGTCTTGTTCAGTAAGCCAAATGTAGAGCCAACACACCATCAGGTCTCTATAATAGATATTACATTAATTCTATTAAATCTATAGACTTCTTTTGATAATACGTAAGTCACTGGCAAACCAAATTATACTTCAATCTATCCTCAACCACACTGGGGAAACAAACTGAGCAGAAACGTTCATGTCATGTTGGAAAATGTTCATGTTTTTTCCACTTTTTCATGAATTTACTACATACTCGCAATACTATTACACCGACGCGTTAGCACGGTCAGGTGCGAATTCATCTGCCAGCTGCCTAGCAGCTTTTCTTTGGGCGAGTTACACTCTTCCACTCTCACAACGTCCTTTCAAGTCATGCTATAACCTCCAACCCTCACACACTTTCCATTTCTCCAATGTAAAATAACCACAAAGTGTCAAATTATCCATAACATACAAGCAGAAACGCATCACTTTCGTCAGAACGCACAATCATCAGGGAAACACACAGATAATCCTGCAGCTTCTCACTGTCTGCCACTGACTGGTTTTGCTGCTTTTCAAGTGTGACTGGGCATGTCCTGACTTGGTTCATCGTGCTAGTGTCTTTGC